CCGAAAAGATCGGGGTTCCTAAATGAAATATCTTCAACAAATAATGCAAGAAATAAATGAATCTTTTTTTAAAAAAATAATAATAAAAAGAAGAAGGAAAAACCAGCCATGAAATGAAGCAATTCATTCCTACAGGGAACTTAAAATTCTGGTTCATTTCACTTGAACTATGAACTATGCACATTTCACATTAACTGTGAACTGTGCACAATAAATTATGTATAATTTAATAGTGCTCTAAATGAACATTCAGATATTTCTGTATTACATGTCCATGCATATGCTTATGTGTGCAATGATCCTATGATTTCATAGAATGCTAATTCTCTATCTGTGTATCGTTCACAGGACATATACAACAGATACAAGAACCAGATTGTAAAGGATCAAAGGTATTTGTATACTAAAGAATAGGGGATTACTCATGTAAGATTTCCATTGGCAAAGATGATGACGGCATGTTGCAAAGGCAACACCTCTCAGGCTGCAATTGTCTCCTGGTCCATTATGTTGTTGAGTGTGGCAGCACCTTAAGGTAAAGTTTGCAAGCACAATTTTAATATGAAATAAAGAATGCAGTGAATTACCGAAACCAATAATACTGACAAAGTTATCTTCACATGCATTCCCTAGTTAATTATTGGGTGACAAACTGAATTTGCCAACCTGTGGCAAGACCACATAAATGTTTCTCAATTGCAAGGTAAGAAACACCCCCTAAAGTCTACACATTATTCAAGTCCAAATCATCAACTGCAATAGTTAAGTTAGACGATAGATGCGCAAGGGGGATGTAAATTGATAGTATTCAGTAAATACATCTATACATGTAATGTTAAATATTGTCTGTTTATCATGTTAAATGTGTTAGAAAACCAAATGAGCTCCCATTAAAGATAGCCTTCAATAGTTTAATAGTGATTATGTATGGAACTCTAGGCCCCTGCAAGGTCCCCTGAGCACTGGGCCCTCTAGCACTATTACAACACAATTGTTTAATGAACTTTCATCGTGCAAGAGCAATTTGAGGGTGGATCAATGCAACCCATGGAAAAAGCATTCTGCCATTACTGACCTGGTTATAGTATAAAACTCGACATTCCTCTTAACTTGATGGTGAAGCATTTCAACAGATTGCTATGAAAGGAAGGGTCCATAGCTAATGGATTATGGATGATTGCAGTACTTCATGAACCCACATCTTGAAAGGGAGCCAAGCCTCAGCAGTTGGAGCTCACTGCAAAATAAATTCTTTCACCTTTGTATATGATATTCCATCATTTCACAGAGACAATCAGGTATGTTGTCACTTGATGAGTTCTTTTGTGCTTTGAATGGATACAAGTTGTATCATAGCATACTGCCTAAACTTTTCAAGATGAATATTATAGTTTCTACTGTTCCAAGATGAGTTGAATCTGTAAGCTGAGGGAAACCATTATATTCTTACTAAATGTATTTACTTTGCCTTAAGCTTTCTATCATCTTCCCAATGGCAGCTGACCAAGTCTCGGATGTAAACAAAGTTTTCTTTAGGCATGTTGTTTGATTCGAGGTTTAGGATGGAACTGTCCAATGATGAAATTCGAGACCTGATAATCCTGCTTTAACCCCTCAATCCAAATTTCCTTCCTCACCATGGCAGGGACAAGATGGTGTAGGTGCCAGCTAAATTAGGATTCTTTTTGGCAGAAAATATTTCTGTGAGATGCTTTGGCCAAGTGATCTTCCCCTGCCATTGCCAGCGAGGTATGGATCTCCCCAGCCCGGCCCAAAACCTACCTTCTAGATTGGTTATTGATTAGCAAAAAGTCTCTCATGGTGGACCACATCCAGCGTGGGGGAATACACTTCACTGACATATACAAATGTATCATGTACAAAACTGGAGACTGGAGACTAAACTGGTGTTTGAATATTTTTGAGCCCACCAAATCTCTTGAGGTGTCTTCCCAACATGTATGGCATGAAGCCAATGCTATCGTGGATAGCCTCACCAAAGAGGGAGCTTCCCAAACAAATCTTGTAACCTTGGTCTAGTGGGCAGTCCCTTTTTGTTTATTTTTTGTACAATTTTGTCTCTGTTTTTTATTAATTAACTGTTTAAGAGGTCTGGTTTTACACTTGTTATAAGTAATCCGAAAGAGTGAATAAAGAAAAAACGAAGTATTTTCTTTCCTTGTGGAACTTGCATAATATCTACAGTTGACTTTATCATTTGCCTGTTGTTCATGAAAATGGGAATGGATTTTGAAATAGTATTAATTTCTGGAAGTAAATCTTAGGTTTTGTAAAGAAATATTGGTTTTACTTCTGGGAATAATCACAGAAAAAAAAAAGCAAAGCAAAGCCTCTAACATAGTTTGGAAGTAAAAAGATGCATTTTATCTGTTAGCAAAATGGCTAGAACTCCTTGAATATTTTGAGACCCTCATTTCTAGTAGACAAGCATTAAAATAATTAGTTTGTGTATTTTTCTTATCAGTGGATGGAGGCCAAAATCTATGCAGTGATTATCTACGTGGCCAGTAATTTCCAAGATGCTTTTCTTTTTTT